CTTTCTTCGTCAGATATATTCTTTAAAGGCTAAACAGATCTTTCTTCGGTTATACAACATTCTTTCGATTCATCTAATGTCTTTCCTTTTAGATCCGCAGACATTTCTAAAAACAATCATTTGGAAGTGTAATTGATGACAAATCAGCTAGTGGAAGGAACTGATTACTCACAACCTCAATGGTACTGAATATCAAATTTAAACCCATGCCTGCTAAATAAAAAAGAAGGATGGACAAAATATTCTGATATTGAATCAGAAACTATTGAAAAAGAGTTTAAAGAAAATAATATAACAGGTTGAATTGGATAATTGTCGGATTGACTTAAAGCATTTTGTTCAAATCACTAAAACCAATAAAAATGAACAACAACAAATTCAACGAATTTTAATTAACAGAAATGAAAGTCCATGTTTAAGAGAAGAAAGATTCTTTCTTCCACAAACATTGAGTAAACCGTTCAATGAGCTTTCACACAGAGATTACTGGTTTATCGTTAAGTGAATGAAAAACCATCTGAATTTTTCTAATAATGAAAGACTGTAAGAGGCAGCAAAAGGAATAACTACTGAAGGCGAGCAACTAGGCAAACAATGCGAATCAAAATGGCCCGCTCGGCAATTGAGAGCTGCAAAAAATAAGGACAAAGAAAAAATACACAATGTTTGCGTTAAGTCTTATTTTTAGAGATGGGCGAGTTCAATCACGTTTGCGTCTTCGAATCCGTTTAAACATGTTCGAATTCAAACATCGGGACGCGTTCAAATGCGTTTCATTATATAGACGTGCCTGAGTCCCTCTAACACGAAACACAGAGGCGGGTTTGAACGGGTTCCAAAAATAATCCTCCTAAAATTTGAAGAGACATGATCTGTATTCGAACTTGCATATATTCGAAATACTACAACTAGCATTTTATTTATCTCTATGAAAACAAATTAATTCATTTGTCTTTCTGGAAATAATAAGAGAGGAAAAGGTGCTTGAATTACGATCAGCCTATGATAATGTAAAATTATACATGCTAATCTTCTGTCCTATAGACAAATGGTTTGAACCTATCTATTGCACTCCATGGTTTTGTAGATATGAATTGTTCTTTGTCTTCTTTCTAGAAAAGTAAATAAACCTCGAATTTATTTAAATGAATCTGATCTATTATCAGTTCATTGCTGGCTTTTTGATGATTTTCAAAAGCGCATTCCAACGTCTTTGCTCTCGCAGCTCGGATGCATTAAAATTTATAACGCATTCAAACTCATATAGCAGTTTCGTTTTCATTACACTTGGCGTTCACTAAAACGCGTTTAGTTATCCATAAATTTTGCACAGGATAACTCGTACAAGATCGTTTAATAAGATTTGTTCAGCTATATTTATTATGAATTAAATAAAGTCCCAGCGAAAGATGATAAAATATGTTTCAATTATAACCGTAAAGTGTCTGAATTATCCACTTTTACATGTACCGCTGGTGAGTGACACCTATCAAAATACGATACTTCCATGATCATCAATGTTTTCTGACGCAAATAGCTGCTTTGGCATTTTCGTACTCAAAAAGGCATAATGAGTTCAGGTAGCCGACATTTTGCGCTCCTTTATTCAAATTTCATCAAATTTTCATTAAAAAGTACATTTCTTTAATATCGAGGTGTGGGTGAATGTGGGATGAAGTAAAACTTTGACCAAGATTGCATTATCACATTTTTCCGAGTGATAATGACTGGACAATATAAAAGAAAAAAATGAGAACAGGAGAATGTGTGTGATACACGTATTAATCACATTTTAGAATGGTGCATACCTCAAGAGACTTTTAAGTAAAGAAAATTTTTTTATAAAAATTATTAATTCTATATTATGTTTGAAAAGGTAGGAGAATGTTTCATGATTTAAAGTATCGTGAGGAGAAGAAAGAAACTTATTCAATGTATTACTAGTACATGTCACAGCTTAAGTGAAGGTAACCCTTCTTCTATCACGAAGTTTTCAACTTTGCATTCACTATAACTTAATATAGAGGAATGTCTCCAAAACAAGACTACTACCAGTCTTCTATCATCTCCCTTCAAAAGATATGAGATACTTAAAATATTAACGAAATTCAATATTTTTAGTTTTGTAAATTATTCTCTCCTTTCCAGTGCCCTAAAAGCTTTTCATTGCATTGTCTGATCGAGCTAAGTGTTCTCGTCACAATGAGACATTTTTCGGAATTTTTAATAGATTTTCGCGGAGATAGTAGTATCGTCGTATATGTGGTGAAAAAGATGATCCGTGTAATGTTACTGAAACAATATCTCAGTTTTTCGCCAACAGCGTTTTTTAATGTTAAGAGATGTTTCTCTAGTACAGGAATTTTCAAAGAGAGAGCGAGAAAAACAGATAATTTGTTCTTCCAATTTTTGGAATATACAAGTTAAATAAATGATGCTGCTGTTTAACCCTTTGCTGCCGAGTTTTTTTTTTGAAAAAATAAACTTTTTGTATAAGTAAAATAGATGTTTATTGAATCAAAAATCATTATCAACAGTGTTTTAGGGTATGATAAGCTTTCAAACAATCAATTATGCATAACCCAACATCGCATTCCTCACACTGATATCTTGTATATTTGACTAATTTTTTACAAACAATGGTTCAGTAATGAAGAAACAATAAAAAGTTGTGGTTATCCAATTGAAGGGTAACCTCTTCTAGTAAAACTTTCGATTTTGCATTCACTATAACTTAATATAAAGGAATGTCTTAACTACAAAACAAGACTACTACCAGTCTTCTATCATCTCCTTCAAAAGATATGAGATACTTAAAATATTAACGAAATTCAATATTTTTAGTTTTGTAAATTATTCTCTCCTTTCCAGTGCCCTAAAAGCTTTTCATTGCATTGTCTGATCGAGCTAAGTGTTCTCGTCACAATGAGACATTTTTCGGAATTTTTAATAGATTTTCGCGGAGATAGTAGTATCGTCGCATATGTGATGTTATCCATAGGGGTGGTTTTAATTGAGCTAGATTATGACCCTGTCAAAAGTTAATCGAATCGAGACGAGCTGAGGCCATATCTCAATGTTAACTTCTTTAAAATGTTTGTCGAGTTACTCAGTTTTAAAAAACAAAAACCTTGCTTTTTCAAGTGCTTTTGCCACCCATACAGAAACATAAGATTAGCCTCCAAAGAGCAACCTTTTAAGGTGTAGTCCTTTGAATTAGTAATATAATTCTCCGTCGTATCAGATGGAGTCAGGTGGAATGTACGAAAGTTAATATCCTACTTTAATAAAAAAACTAAAACCAAAAAAATTTGAAGAAAAGTACATTATCTTATCAATATAGGAAATCTGCTTGGATTTTCGCCCAAGCAGATATTTTCTCGGAATTTTGTAACAAGATCAAAAATAAGGAAGCAGAATTTACCCTTAAATCATGATGTTATCGTATGGATTCAAATATCTAGATATATTCGTCACTGTATTTCTTGTTGTGATAAATGAAGGACAGTTTATCATTTTAGTTCATTTGGCTAAGTGGTGTTTTTAATCGAATTCATTCAACTCCAACAGAGAAATGCACACGTACACAATCATTAAGATGATTTTCTTCGTGTAGAATACTGAAACGCTTGCATCTGCGTACGAACTTCAAATTAATACTTGTTTTTTCTTGACTATGAACTGACTATTCGTTTTTCGCTTCTTATCTGATAACCTAGCTGGAAAAAGTTGTTTTTGATAGTTTCCAAGTTACATAACAAAGAGACGTAACACATGTTCATATGTTATATTTAGAATGGTCAACAGTGTTGTCGTATGATAGAACAAAAGGTGAATGTATGATGCTGATGTTCGTTTTTATCCATTTTTCAGCAGGAATACAAATTATCACTCGTTCTCGTATTACCTTCTATGCAGTTAAAAAATAGTTTCCAAACATCTTCATACGAGAAAAATATCTAATCGTAGGCATCAGTATGATATAAACGGAATTTTATAATATTTTGTTTCAATTTAAACAGTTGATCAGAATTTTCTTGCTGAAATAATCAATCCATTTTTACTTAAATAATCAACATTTATCTTTTAGACAATTGCATAGTGTCTAACTGGTTTAACTCTAATTATAAATCGACTTGATTTGTTTAATCAATTAAGAAAAGATGGATTAAATGAAAAATATTTTCGAAGAAAAGTTGAATATTTTTCTCGTAGTCTTGATTTAAGAAAGTAGAACTAAAATTGATATTTGACTATGATTAACTGGAACAAACAGGATTTTCAGACTGATGTGGGAGCGATAAGTCAAATATATAATCACTGCTGGCGCGTCATGCAAAAAACAAACCGCTGATACGAGAAATGATAATCAGTCTCTCATTAAATGTCAATATTCGTCACTGATGACTGGTAAATAATCTGTGCCCATACACTTGATTATTATTGACTAAACTGAACAAGAACGATCATTAGACAACGATACACGTTACGTAAGAGAATGATAATCATCAGAACAATAGTCAACAAATAGAAAATGAACATGGTGCAGTACTGATGAATCGTCTCTCTATGAGGGCAATGAAAAAATCAAATAGGAACATATTTTTTTTGGTAGATATAGTAGAGGATACAAAAACCAACGCAAGGAAAACAGTACTAGTTTTCTCTCTCGCTTTCAATCGTCCTACATCCAAAAAAGCGTTAAATATTTTGTTGCGTATATCATACACATTCCACTTTGAACAACGGAGGGCACACAGTCAGATTATTGTTCAAGTATATATCGAGCGATAATTACATCAAAAATATTCAAGGTGTCATATTATTTTTTTTGAAAAAAAAGTGAATAATTTCAATAACGATGAATTATGTTCCCTTAATAAATCCGATCATTTTCATTTTCTACAAATGACAGTTAAATCAACTCAGCATGCCGCCTTAGTGTCACTTGTGAACAACATTTTTTTCTCTCTATCTGCATTATCAGCTTTTTAAACAATATGGCCGGTACGTTTATGGCACTGTCCTTGAATATATAGCCTGATGTTCGTTTTATCTACAATTAGTCTCTATTTGATATGAAATCACGTTAGAGAGAGAAATAATATTACATAATTGGATAAGTACAAGAAAATTATTGTCAACAAAGAGGGAAAAGTAATATTAAATTTGTTGATTGATATACGTCGTAATATTTATGTATATTTTACTTTCATGTCTGATTGGTTGTTTGTATTTTAAAACTGATACATAGTGAAAAGATATTAGACTATACTAACATATGAAACGATAAATCAAGAAAAGATCTAGACTAAAATGATATTTTAAATTTTAAATTGTTTTTCGTGGTTCCATACACTTTCCTAATTATCATGCGAGTTGGTCCGAGAGAACATCATTTTGTTTCATATATCAAAATAAGTCTTGTAATTCATTAGAAAACTGAACTCCATTTTATCTTTATTGCAGCTGTCATACAAGTAATCAGACGAGAAGAACATCTAGCTAGATTTTTCTATCAGTTTAATCGAACTGTTTATAATTCGATAGTAGACCGCTAACTTATTTCTTTAATTTAATAAATCTATAAACTTTGTTTACTGACTTTTTTTATTCGTATTCCAAAAATATATTGACAATGCTTTGTTAAATCTACGTTAGGTAAAACGGTATGAAACATTGGCATAATAAACATATGCAGATCTTTTATATCAACGGTTTTAGATTGATAAATGTGATAGAGCTGATGAGTAAAAAAACAGGGTTCTACGTTGCCACTTATTCTAATCATTTTCTTCATCTCAAACAGCTCATAACTGGATCTTAGAGAGAGTGCGTGTATTTTCAGCGTCCATTTTCAAGACAAATTTATTTTACGAATAAATTTTAAAATGTAAACTGTCCTTTTGTATACATATTGCACTTATCGATTAAAATGTGCATGTCATCGTCCTGAATATATCTGCAGCCACACGATAGAACAGGTCTACTTTTGGTGAGTTTATGTGAAAATCCATTGGAAAAATATTAGTAACACATATATCTACAAACTAAACTTCAAAACATTTGTTCTCGATATTACATGATTAACCAGAAGTAGTATTAATTTATCTTCTTTTTTCTATTGGTCGAAATTTTATTCTGTTCTTTCTTATTGGTTTCATTCATATAGATATAGAAAAATAAAAATAAAACGGCAAAGATTGACAATTATACTATATTCAGAAGAGAAAGTATATCACTGTTTCCTTTCGTCGTTATTATCGTTCATCAACCATATTATTAGCACCTGTTTTTGAAGGTGTGAAAAGCTGCCAAAGAGTTAGTTGAAAACTTAGAAAATATGCTACCTCTAGTTGAAGCATCAATAGCAGACAAAATAAATTCAGATGATAGTACATATCCCATAACAACAACAATATTAAATTTAAATTATTATCCACAATATTCTTGCGGAAGCAATGACAACAATAATTATCATACACATCAATCTTATCCACCGTCCACCACAAATGATTATATGTATCCACCCTTGTCTTATTATACAGGGCCACCATTATCAACTTTTGATAGTGTACCTAAACGCATTCGACACCGTTCATCATTCAATAATAACACTACCATCGATGATCCAAAACAACTTTTATCAACAACAACGTATAACGGATCAATGCCAAAAGCTCGGTCTCCAGTAAGAACAGCGCCAACAATGACGATACAGCAACACCGAGCCCAACAAATGTCGTGTTATAATTGTATTTCTCTGCAACATTTACATGATGAACCAACAACAGCAAGTTATGATGCTTATCAATACTACATGACCAACTGTAGTCATCTATTACCATCAGGACAACCAACATCATATGAGTCACCAGCTCAATGTGTAAGTTGTAACACTATGGCTTACTTTAGCATTTATTCTAATTTAGTCAACAATAGCTCTTATTTCTCATGTTTGGATAGTCCGATTGACTATTAGTATAAGCATAGTCAGCGTGAGAGAGAGCGTTAGTCTGCTATTATTAAAAAGTTACGTTTTCATGAAAAGATAAATGGTATGTTTCTCAGAGCAGATTCACTGTGACAGTTGTCCTTTCGAAATCAAGTACGCGACTCTTGTTCTGTTACAGAATGATATAGTCAAAAGAAACTATTTCATAAAACATAAGAAATTAATACACACAGAAAAATTATACTTTTATACAATAATCTAAAGGAAATAGTACACACAAGTATAGTAATAAGACTGAAAAAAGTGAACACTTACTACGATGAGCTAACTGTGTTCACAAACGATCTTAAAGGATATAACTTAATCACACTATTATCACCAAATTTTTATTTATTCTATTTATTTAGAATAATATTATTGCAATGTCAGGACATATCGGTGTACGTTTAGAGCATGGAGATTTGTGGACAAAATTTCACCAACATACAACAGAAATGATTATCACGAAACAAGGACGGTATGTACAAGGTTCTATAGTAAAACAAGGAGTATAGCGCAGTTCATTTTAGCCCATAGTTACTTGTAGACAGGTTGCAGAAAATAGCTATATCAATCACAATATAGAGTAGCTAGTGCTCCCAGACGTTACGATAATTTATAACACTGCCAATGCTTTTTGCAAACTACAACATCATTCCAATTTTCGTTAAAATAATGAGCCATAATCACATACGAATGGCGACGGCACACATCGGCACCATTTTCTTGTGCTTTGTATATATATGTACAATGCGTGATGTACACCGCTAGATGTGACCAGCGCACCAGAATGTGAAAATGGCTCATTACTCTTCATTACGATTCGCTAAATTTTCTTATGAAGGAAAGGCTCGGAGTTTTACATGACGAAATTCTGAGCTTATACGCTTCGCTATGCTATTGCTCTTAACTCTCTAACATCTTCCGTTGATCTTTTCTTGTAGTCGAATGTTTCCCACTCTCCAGTTTAATATATTCGGTTTAAATCCCGATTCAAATTATAATCTATACGTTGATATGGTATTGGTTGATACAAATCATTGGAAGTTTAATTCAGGAAAATGGGTACCATGTGGACAAGCCGAACAATGTCAGAAGTCAAGTAAGCATCTTGAACAAAATATAAAAATTCGGTTTATTGTCTATGTTTCTCGTGTAAACTAATATTAAATTAAATGAGTTTTTATTTAAATAATAGATTACGTATACATTCATCCGGACAGTCCAAATACGGGTGAACATTGGATGAAAAATGAAATATCATTTAGTAAATTAAAATTAACAAACAATCGTTCAATATCGCCAGGACACAATACAAACGTGAGTGTACAATTCTTTACAATAGTAGTTGCTAAAGTTGTTTGCTGATATTTTTAGATGACATTAATTTTAAATTCTATGCATAAATATCAACCACGTCTACATATTGTTGAAGTTAGTCGAACGAATAATGGAAATAGTCGATGTTCATCATTAGAACAACAAGCCAGAACTGGCCAAGAACATACATTCTTTTTTGCCGAAACACAATTTATAGCTGTAACTGCTTATCAAAACACGGATGTAAGTAAATATGGTGATATCTAAACTATAAAAAGATGAGTCTAAAATATATACAATCTAGTTTTCCCCTAAAACGTTGTTCTTTCCCTGTTTTAGGTAACACAATTGAAAATTGATCACAATCCATTTGCTAAAGGTAAAATTGAAAAATAAATCTCATTCTAAATTCTGCTCACTTTAATATGTTCATCTTTTCGTAGGTTTTCGTGAGTCAACTGACAGGTATGTGTATGCCTATGCGTCAATCTTGTCTTGTTTTCTATATTTCACTATTTCATTCATATAGAGTCTACGGTTTACATAATGATCGTCTAATCGTATCATCCGATCCATATTATCATTATCAATCAGCCACTTCTTTATCACCTCATTTGTCTCAGCAACATTCTCCTCAATCATTGAAAAATATGACATATTGTGAGGCAAATTATTCAACATCACTTAAACGAAAAATGTCTAGTTATACGGAACAACAACAATCATCGAATTCAACATGGTTGTCTGATAACAGACAGTCAAAACGAAATAAATTTCATGATAATCTCGAACGAAATTTCTTTAATGGTTATTAAAATTGCTCCCATCTTAAATTTCAATGTATAATTTTCATTTATTGTTTTGGGTTTTGCAGAGTATTTTTTGTTTTAAATAATTTAATAGGCATTCATCGAAAAGACGGGCTTTGTTTTGAAAATGATCATTTTACATACTTTTCACAAAAATGATGGAGAATTATTTTTCGATTTCAATGTCAGTGGTTGGACACAATTCTCTATAAATAACTGTTGAAGGATTAAAATCCCAGCTTCACTACGAAGGAGAAATAACGTATCTTGGAAATCAAACCATCATTGATGTTACTTTATCATAGGTCTCATGTACCGATTTCGACAAAGTGGATCATTTCGAGAAGACTACTGGCTTTTTCGTCAATGTTTCTGTTAGAAGAAAATTTCTCTAGCGTGAGTAGACAAAAAATGAGTTAGAAAGGTGTCATTTTTCCAGAAATCATATCACCGGAAAAAAAATAAAGTTGGTTTTGAGTTGCTGAAAAGTGGTTTTTCGTATTCAACACACTCGACAACCCAGAAAATTTTCTATTTTTGACCCGACGTACTTCCGAAAGCTTAGGAAAAATTTTCAAACTAATATTATTTTCCCATGGAAATTTTTTTGCGCCATTTTGTACCAAAATTTTTCTTAAACTTTCGGCAGTATCCCTGGCCAAAAATAGAAAATCTTCGAGGTTATCGAGTGTGATGAATACGAAAAGCATTTTAGCAGCTCAAAACTAACTTTTATTTTTTTTGTTCCGGTGATATGTTCATAATTTGATTACATGGCAATTGACATTACAACCGATGCTAAAGATGTCTTATGTAGAACTGAAAGTGCTGTGTTCTCAATTTGATGGTGTTGTTATCTCTTATCGTTATTTCAGAGCGACATCATATTCGAAAAATTATTCTTTGTGCCCGAGGCCATTGATTAGTGCCCGGTCCGTGCACAAATAAATGTTTCACATTTTTGCGCCCGAAAAAGAAATGTGCCCTTCAATGGCATTGATTAGTGCCCGGTTACGATTTCTAATTGAAATTTTAAGAAACAAGAGTTTTGTACCCGGTTTAATGGATACTACCAAAAAAAAACCAATGACATATGTACATTATGGTAATTCTGCAGCTACTGATTTAACAATAATTTATCTAACAGGTGATGGCACACGTGTTGTTGCGTTACGATTCGAATGATTATGTGTGTTTGATGTTGAAACAATGAACTCGCTCTCATCTTTCGTTAAACAACGGATTTGAAAATCACATTGAGGAAACTTTCGACACTCTGAGCATCGCTAGGTAATTTTTTGACCTCCATTTGTTTATTCTGTACGTTTAATAGATACGTTTTGACCATTCATATACAAATAGAAATCAGATCTGTTTAAAAATCTGTCAACAAAGATCCACTGTCCCCTTACCATAGTATAGATGTGTATGTTGTTTTTCAGTCTTAAGCAGAGTATTATGAAGTATAATATAACTCACCATGCAGTACAGTAGTTCATTACTGAATTTTAATTCAATCGAATTGTAAACAAAAGTTCTTTATACAACATGGACATCTGTACGATTGAATCTTATGTGCTACGTGATATCTCCAACAAACTCTGACGCCCTATTTCGATTGCAAGGATAATGTTAGCAAAAAACGCACAAATTCTTCAATCTGATCCATATACTTCCTGCCGTTCAAGTACAAACTTCATATTCTAAAGTCGTCGTAATCTCCAAATTAAGTAATTGATTATCATTAACGAGAACTAGGTAAATACAAAGTAAAAGATATATCCCAGTCAGAGCAGAGGCTTAGAAAGCAGTCTTAAGTGTGAGATTTCAAGGACAGTGTAAGCATGGGAAGTACAAGCAGTTGGATAATCCTGAAGAAGCCAGATCTTGACACGATAGATAAATGTATTGGGTTTTGGATATTTGTAAAACTTTGAGGATTAATAGTTGCATAACTACTAATTCTCACGGAAAATGCAAAAACAGCGGTTTTCTCCCCTTTAAGCTCAAAAGTTCATTAGTCGTCAGGTATCTGGAATAGTTTAGCTATTCGTGGCAGCTAATTGCTCATTGTTCTCAATAATTCTGTTTTGTGATCGTCTCATTATACCCTTTTGCAAAAACTTTTGTACGTACTCTTGAAAAATATATCAGTGAATCCAACAGATGTTTCGTAAATATAAAATATAACGGTACTAATCGTAGCAGAAAGTGTAAACAATCTGTTTAGCTTAAATATTGGGAAATCGGAGGCGAAGAATAGATCATTATGCAATGCTACGCAAAGTTTTGACTTTTTTTTGCTAAGGAAGCATGGAAAAATTCTAAATTTTATAACTCTTGTCAGCGAAGAGTTCAGTTCGTTTTCATGATTCTACTAGCTGTCTCTGATATCTACATAGGGCCGTAACCAGAGAGTAGGCACACAAGGCACGTGCCCACCCCTTGGGATTTCACTACAGTGTATATCTGATTAATAATATACGAAGACTGAAATTTTAAATGGAAAGTTTTTTTCTAGATGCCCACTCCGTACCAAAATTGTGGTTACGGCCCTGTATCTACATAAAGTTTCAGCATTCCAGCTTGTTTTATTCGCGATTTATTGAATTCTCAAGTTTTTCATAGGTTCGCTCTTGAATACACTCACAATGAATGAGTTCCACAAACGTTAATTCTTTAGCAAAATGATTGAAATTTTCAGAACAAAGATGGTTGTCAAACTGTCAAACACTCTGCTAGAATTGAAATTTTTACTCAACATAGATAGTCTGTCAGGTCGGTGTTTCAGGAAGTTTCTTGAGATCTCGTAATTCACGATCAGCTCAGGGGCAGTTTTTCTTTTCTTAAGGGTCCCCCTCGCAGAAAAAAACTTTTTTGTCTTACATCTGATTTTGATACTACTTTCAGCAATTGTTTGTCATATCAAAGTGTGATTATGGAACTTTTTTTCCTCGCTACCTCTTACCATTTCGGGGTTTTCCAGAGTCCAAGTTAAAAAACCCATTCTCCACTGCCGGGCACTTTTTTTACATATACTTCAGGCTAGAGATCTCAAGTTGGTTTTATTTTAAACTAGACACCTAACTACGTGGGCTGATGGAACCAGATCTTTGATTTAGCGTTTTCTAGAGATCCAAGATCTTCAAAAACCCTAAAATCCATTCTAGAGATCCTTGATTTTCTAGGAAACTACGCCCTAATTCAAAAATCTGATCCCATCAGTCCACGAGGTTTGTTTAAAATAAAACCAACACGAGATCTCTAGCTTGAAGTATATTTAAAAAAAGAATCCCGCACTGGGCATGTTCGAACAAAAAGGTAATTTCGTAGTTTGACAGAAATAGTTTTCGACAGCATGTTTTGACAGTGTCGAATTCTGAGCAAAAAATCCGTCGAATTTCTAGTCTGTTGAAACTTTTTCGCTCAAAATTTGACACTGTCGAAAATCGCATACATACAATTTTCGACAGACTTTTTAAAAGTGAATAAATTATTTTGCTGATATTCATATATTACGAGATTTTAGATATATACGTTCTAGACATACAAGCTTAAAGACTTATATTATAAAGGATATAGAGACGTAATGACGTAAAGACGTAGGGATTGTCTACGGCGCTACGTGCTTAGGCTTTTACTTCGCTAGTAGAGAAGTGGAGCGAAAAATCTGGCGACTTTCTGGTCTATTGGAAAATTTTCGCTCGAAATTTCTCACTCGAAATTCGACAGTGTCGAAGTTTTTCGCTCCAAATTCGGCACTGTCGAAAGCCTGTCGAATTTAGAGTAAAAATTTTCGACACTGTCGAATTATGAGCGAAAAATTTGACAGTGTCGAAAACTCACTATCGAAAAGTAGAACTGTCGAACGACGACAAATTCGTTTAAAATAAAACAAACCCGAACTCTCCAGCTTGAAGTATATTAAAAAATCTTGGGACACACTTCAGGGTCCTTTTTGGACCTTGAAAAACAAGCAAAAAACTTTCTTTCGAGCCTTTCGTAAATTGAATGCAGTGTTAAAATTATTCATTGTTTTGTGAAGCGAATGCAGTTTTCGTAAAATTTCAGCGAACAACAGTTGCACAATAGAGCGGCAAATACTTATCCGATAATAGTTTATATATCACAAAAAACAACTTAACAACTAAACTCATCAAATTCTTGTTTTTGATCTATTGTAATGAATGAACTTATTTTTCAATCAATATTATGGAGCCCGAACTTTTTGTGCCCGACTTTCTCATTTCTTCATGCCCGATGCTACTGACTAGTGCTCGATCTGCGTACAAATAAATTTTTTCATGCTTTTGTGCTTTTGTGCCCGGAAAAAGAAATGTGCCTGGTTCTTTTTCATCGATTTGTGCAAGGTTCGTTTTTTAAACAGAAAGAGAAGAAAATCACTGTTTTGTGCCCGGTTTTTTACGACTGTCTTGTGAAAATGATAACGATGTAAATAAGTAAAAGCTGAATCAAGGCGCAGTCGCTTAGACGTCTAAACTCTCTCGCGTACTTATTTTCTATTATATATCGCTGCGATGGGAATGATATATCGCCCAATTGCTAGAAAGAGGACTGTCTGAAATACTCAATATACGTGAGAATATTATTCAAAAACAATCTGTATCTGCTATTTTATACATCGTTTTTTCTGTTCTGTAAATATCAGTAATGGATCAAATATTTATTTGATTTTAAATGGCTGTAAATGTATATGTACGGATCGATCACAGGTAATGTAATCGTTTTGTAACGGTAGAAACTAAAATTTTTCATAAAATTTTGTCGTAAAAAGTTACTGAAGTAAGACGCTAGAATAATTAAACAAGGTGTAGTTTTTGCGAAAAGCAGAAACAACACGTTCGACAAGAGTGATTGTGTTTTACTTTCATAATTTTAATTTACTTGTGAATCAATGAAGTGCGACGCAAGCTAGTAGTTAAAGTTAAGTGGTTGTTAATATCTTTCTGGTCTTAATTCATATTCATTTAAACATTTCTATGCGCGAGTTTTCTTAACATTTAATTATCTTGGTTCTAAAAAGAGGGAGAATTTTGTGCAGATTTTATATTACACTTGTACTCCTTTTGATATAAACATTTGTTCTTTTTTTTGTAGATTATTTTGTAGGCGATGATTGTTTGTAGGCGATAATTTTTATTGCGACATAAAAAGAGCAAATGTTTATCTGGAAAAGAGTACAAGAATAATATACAGTTAACACAAAATTGAATTAAAATGATTATTATTCTTGAAGTTTCTTCATATACGGTTGTGCACTGTCATTCGGTCAAAAATGAGTCGATCCAATTGACTGAAAACGAGTCGTCATCTCGAAAGAGACGCGTATAATAGGAGAAAGAAAGGAAAATTCACTAGTCTTACGAAAAGCAATAGTCGACTTAATTATCAATAACTATTGTATAGTTTTGCGGCTTGGAAAAGAGAAATTTCAAGTGACAGCATACAATGGTCTCATCGAGGTTTGTAGACATGAGCACAATGTTTTTCACTTTTTTTATTACATATTAGTCGTAATGAATAATGACCTAAGACAGCTCTAAATAGCAAAATCTATATATTTGCAGTTTTTGATTTTAGTCAGTCACATGGATTAGATGTCTTGTCTGTTATAAACCCAGGGCGAAGAATCTTGAAATATGATCTTGTACGTTCATACAAGATCTTGTAAGATTATAAGATCATATAAGATTTCACAAGATCATATAAGATTATATCTCTGATTCTGCACTATAGCTTCCCTACAGACTCTCTTTAAAAAACAGCTTTTTTCTTTTCATAATATTTTCGAGCATAGGAAGGACCCTGACGTCCTTAGTAACGTCTAATCACGTTTCTTATAGCCATGCACTTTATTTGTGCTCAGCTGATGTGTGCAGCTGGAGAAAGAAAAAATTCTAAGTTTCATCATAAGAACTATGTTTTATATATACTATATATCGTTGCAAAATTTATGTGGTAAGAATGAGTCATCTCTTCTTGTAAGATCTTATAAGATCTTGTAACAAGAAATCGTATGATCTTGTGATAAAAACTGACAAGATCTTGCAAGATCATATAGCTTCTTGTTACAAGATCTTATAAGATCTTAAGATTTCTTATAAGCTGATCTTGTAGGATCTTACAACAAGAAGTTACAAGATTCCGCAAGATCATACATGATCTTGGGATAAGATTTTACAAGATCTTGCCAAAAGATCTTGCAGCAAGATTGCATAAGAAATCGTCAGATCTTATAAGATCTTAAGATTTCTTATAAGCTGATCTTGTAGGATCTTACAACAAGAAGTTACAAGATTCCGCAAGATCATACATGATCTTGGGATAAGATTTTACAAGATCTTGCCAAAAGATCTTGCAGCAAGATTGCATAAGAAATCGTCAGATCTTATAAGATCTTGTAAGACGTCTTTCCCTTGGAAAGCCAATGAAAACTTTATCTTGTTTAAAAAAAGTACGCAGTTTTTTAGCTATTAGTATTAGTTCAAGCTGTTTTGCATTTCAGACTTTAACTTCATTCATTTACATTAAAATATCCCCGTTCACGCACTATTTACGAGTGACAAATGAATGTTACGAGTAGATTATCAGAAATTGAAAATGATTTTAAGGAGACGAAAATGCACAAACTCATTTTGTATACTCATCTTAATTGGTATTGTTAGTCTAATGCTAATTATTTCATGGATGAATTGTTCGATTATAAATAATTGTAAATCATCACCAGCCAATTGTAGTTGGAATGAACATTTCAGAAACGAAAACGGAAAAGTGATCAGGTATTTATAAACTTTGCATTAGACCATTTGCTTGAGTAATTTGTTAAATTCACTTACTCTGATCAATACATTACCCATATGATTTTTGTATAGGAAGAAATTTAGATCCGATAAATATAATTGAATATTTTTCTGATAACTTTATACAGAGCTTTTAGTTTAGAAGATTTATTCTCTGTGCCATTGTATCGTCGTCTCTTTGAATTTAACAACTCATCGATTGTCTTTTGTGAGAATGATACATCGATTGATCTACTTATATTCGTTATATCAAAATCAGCTAATTTCAAAATGAGAAATGGCATTCGTCGAACATGGGGCAATGTTGACGTATTACAAAAATATTCTAAACTCAACATTAAGTTATTATTTCTTGTTGATATTGACGAAATGAGACTATTACGAGTGAAATTAGAAAATCAGTTATTCAACGATATTGTTCAAGTACATCTACCGGAATATTATGAACTTGTAACCTATAGGGATGCAGCCATATTCGATTATTCAGCTAGATATTGTTCTCTGGCGAAATATATATTCAAGACAGACGATGATGTTTTCATTAACTCGTTATTATTGGCCAAATTTGTATCTCAATTAAACCGAACAAAGAGAGAATCAACAATCGTAAAATGCTCGAATGATTTGTTCAATGACGAGCCACTGGTCATGTATGGACATCCAATTTATAATTCAGTCGTTTTTCGTGATACGAATCATCCTGTTAATAAACGATACGTTGTCACGCTAAACGAATATAAATGTAATATGTATCCAACGTTTCTGAGCGGGTTTGGTTATTTAGTACCGGCAAATGTTCGATCACTATTATTATGCACCTTTTATCGTGATCCGAAACCATTTCACTTGTCGGATGTTTATTTCACGGCATTATTAGGTGAGTATTTAAATATTAGAAGAGAACAAATGTCTAATTTCAACTATCGAATTGATGAAGGATGCAAACGATTTTTAAGTAAACAAGATTCAATAGCGTGTGGAACAGGATCACACTTCAATGATAACAGTGATGATCTAATGAATAATTATAATCTTTATTGGACAAAAATAATGGAAAATAATAAATTACTCTAACTGTATTTTATTTTAGTTTTGAAATTTTTTATACATGAACACCAACACAAATCTGCCAGAATTATTCTCATATCAAGTTCAAAATGTAGTGTAGTTCGTCATTTTGTGAATAAACCTTTGAGAGTTCAGATCATCAGGAGAACTAAAGAGAAATGTCAACTCTATTCTTACTGTAATATCTCTGTCACCACACATATTCTTGATAATGACATTATTTTCCATTATTTTTGTAGTTAATCCGTTTCTCTTTGCAATTATTTCAGAATTCTAAACAGTTCTCTTTTTGGTAATAAAACCGTGATTTTTGAAATTCGAAGATTCATTTTAACTTTTCAAAAAATTAAAGGTTGTCTTCAAGTTTTAAAATGAGACAATTTATATTTTCAACTTTCGATCTGTTATTTGAACTTTAGGATAGATGTTCAATCTCAACTTTTTCCCCACTTACAGCTGAACGTAAGGGAAGAGGGAAATCTAGTAGCCATTTCAGAGTATTCAGACTCGTGCTTTCCAAGTGATGTGAAACTGATATAGTAAGTGAAGTATGTGAAGACTGATGGGTAAAAAGCAGATAAAAAGTTCTGTTGATAAAATTTCAAAAGTTGATATAACCTCGAAAGTTGGAGATAAAGTTTTGTTCATTGATATTTAACATCTAGTACGTAATACGCATTATTAGTTTGCACTTTTTCGTTTTATTGTCTTATTGTTCTATTCTGTATATTTAAGAAAAAAGGTTTCATTGTATATATCTATACTTTTATTTGTCACGTACTATGTGCGTATGTTTGATTTATTGATAATATAAGAGAAGAGGAAGAGGTCTATCTTAGATGATGTCTCTATCTAGTTTAACTAAAAGATTGTAAGGGTGTAATAGGTTAAATTGCCGATTTCTGCATCGACTTTTTCTATTTTACACATGATCAGAAAATTCATTATAATGCTGAAAGATTATGGGAGAGGTATAAGAATTTTGTGTAGATTCTAATCATATGTTTTTCTTAAAATAAGTGCTTACCGTTTTTTCGAAGTATCACAAGTACTAAAAGCCACAAAAAACCTACTTATTCGGTATTTTACTAAAATAAAATGTAGTTTCTAATTATTAAGTAGTTGACTGATGGCTCAAACATGGCATTGAAAACTAAACTGAAGTCTTAAGCTTTTAGGCACAAAACGAAGTTTTGGAATCCTACTTACGATCATGAAAACCGCTTACAAAATATACATCTTAACAAACTTTCGTGTCTTTCACTCCCCAAGAGAATCTCTTAAGTTCGTCATTTGTTATCAAACCTTGTCAATCGATGGGAAGAATGATATTTTGTAGAATCTGAAATTTTGCATCTCTTTGGGTATTGAAACAATGATTTGTATACATGAAGAAGATAGAAAAGTACGAAAACAAGTTCCATTTCATCGATGGAAGATGTTTTCCCCATGTTTGGAATAATTAAAAGCGAGATTGGGAGACGTATAAGGATATTATCAGAAAAGTCTCCCTTCTTTTCACGACCACCAGAAACGTTCATACGAAAGAAAGAACTGAAGTGAATGTTCGATTTCTACTACTTGCTCGTTTTAATTTCATTCTCTTTGAAATCTTTCTGTTCTGTTGTTTCCACAAAAAGGTGCAGTGGATCCACCTCTTTCTTCTTGTTCTGTTTCGTTGTTTTTGTACACCATCATCGTTATCAAATAATGTTTAACAAATATAAATTTTGACTTATATTTTGAATGTGTCTTAAAATTCTTTTATTTCTTGTGTATTTTTATGGTGAAAATTGTTAATTCAAAAAAATTTTCTTCAAATCAACGAAAGTATTTATGGGTTTTGTTAGATTTAACTATTGATATTTTTTTAAGAAGTTTAAAAGAATTTTTGTTTACTTTTTAGGAGTAGATACAAAAAAAAGAAAATAATGTTCGATTTCTAATTGAAAAATTCAATTTTCTTTAAAATTAAGTTATTTATAATTATTAATTGTTACTTAATAGAATTAATTTTAAATGAATAATATATATATTGTCGTTGTTTTTGAGTTTGATAACCTTTTTTATGTTTGGTTAATTAATGACTTTTATGTTATTTTTAATATTGTTGTTTTTGATTTTAAATGACAGTAAATATTATAGATTAATTATATACTTTTTTATTCAAAGAGTGTTTTTTTTTGTTATTTTTAAGTATTTATTGAGTTTACTTTAGTTTTTCTTTTACTTTAATGATAGTAAAGTTGGGTGTAGCTCCCTTTCATTATTGAGTAGAAACTCTAGCCAAAATAATAGAACCTATAGTTGAAGTCTCTAGATGGGCAACAGATAATCAATAATGAAATCCCCCTAAAATACCCAGCAACCAATCGCTCTAACGAGGTAACTTCCTCAAGTGTGAACTCGCTTTTGAGCTGAAACCTAGTGGGTTATAAGTAATCCACGGTGCTGATTTCGAATATCACCATGCCGTTTGCCGCTACGCCTTCAAAGACCTGGAAATTCTGGAAAACCAGTTTTTCAGAAACTCTAAAAAATAACCCAAACCTTTCGTAATGAGGCATGATTGTAGCGCGCATATTTCTGATTAAAATGAGACGTCTCCCACCTCTACACAACCTTTCTTTGCAAAGTTATAGACTTCATTTTATTTCGAAGTCAAACGCTCGTCCTCCATGGACGTCCGAATCCAAAGGAAGCCGAAAAGGAGTGACTCA